AGTCTCCTACGATGCATCTGTGCTTAATTTGAAAATCTTCAAATCTGTAAAAAAAATCGTCTTCATCAAAAATTTTTATCGTTATTTAAAGTTTCTGGAAAAAGGCAATAATTGTTTCACAGCATTTCAATTCGGTATATTATCAGTACAAGGTTCGATAAATGGTTCACTGTCAGGGAACGTTATTTATTATAGAGTAGAAAAAACGTTTTCAATAATTAAATATAAATAAAAATTTACTAATTCAATAGTAAAATAGCACTTACTTCTACAACCTCTATAATTAAATATAAATAAAACAATCTTTATTTAACATTGCAATACAAAAGACTTATTCGTGAAACAAAATAAAGTATTGTGATCAGAGCCGTAGAATTAAATTCAGGCCAGGGATTATAAAGGTACTGCCCCCCCCCTCCCCAAACTATTCCCCATACGAAATGTTTTCTGTCAAAATACTTGCCCTTTTTTATTTTCGTACAAAATTTTAAATTTTTTGAATTCGTAATTTTGGAACCTTCTAGGAAAACCTGGAGCCGGGGTAATTCCCGGCTTCAACCCCTCTCGAAGGTCATATCTTATGAAAATTTATTTTTGAGTTATAAAAATAACCAACATGATACCCATGCCTATACAACATATGTAGATTTAGGTACTAACTTACCGTCAAAATGTACCAATTTCATCAACAATTTAAGTTCTTGATACGCAACTGCCTAATTGTTGTAATTAACAAGAAGCAGGCATGCAGTAAGTTAAGTTTTTATTTAGGTCTGTCAAATATTGACTACTCTTATATTAATTACATTAATAAAAATAAAAATGAATTTTAACAGCACTACGATTCGATTCATTAAATTATTCTATTTGCATTGTTTGACGACGGTAATCGTTGTCGAAACGATGGTAACTCAACCAACTGTCTAGTTGATGGAAACAGCAACTCATATTCAATTTTTCACCAAAGTGGAAGGTGTATTAATAAATTATAAATTAATGCAATATTTGTACTTAAGTAGTGTTTAATGTATAAAACATCAAAATTGTAAGCAAAATCGATGCAGGGACACCTCTAAACATATTACAGTGGAAATTACCTTATATCAAAATGTATAAAATGTCTATTTATATATGTCAATATGTAGGTAATTAATCTACATATCCTTGAAAAGAAATTAGAAATATCCTACAAACACACTCCGTGGCTTTTTACATGAGCATTCATACTTGTTTTACTAACAAAACGTTTCTCACAAACTGTGCATTTGTAAGGTTTCTCGTGGGTGTGAAACGATCGCACGTGAAACTTAAGAGAATGAGGTTGAGTGAAACCTTTATCGCACACGCGACACACAAACGGTTTCTCTTTCGTGTGAACGAGTTTGTGCATTCTAAGGGTATTTCTTGCAGTAAACGATTTCCCGCAAACCTCACAAGTGTGCGGTTTCTCGCCCTTGTGCACACGCAGATGATTACGATGCGACGCAACACTAGTGAGCGCTTTGCCGCACAATTCGCACACAACGTATTGTTTCTCTTCTTGGTGCTCCTTTTTATGTTTAGCTATCGATCTGTCATGTGTAAATTTTCTTCCGCATTCGTCGCATTCATAACAAGGCGGCTTGTAATCGGGAAGATGTTTTTTAAGATGATTTTTATACGAATGCTCATAACCGAAAGTTTTAGGACATAAATTACAAATAAATTTTACGTTTTTGTGTACATTTTGCATATGGCCCTCTATATACCGTTTATTGATCTTTTTACCACACAAATTACAAGCAATGCGATTCTGACCGGTATGCGTTTCTACGTGTGCCTTTAGACCTTCTTCAGTGACGAACTTTTTCTCGCAAACATCGCATTTCATTACAAGACGATCTTCGTGGGTTTTCATATGCTTTCGCAAAATAAAGTTAAACTCGAATAGCCGATTACAAAATTTACACGGAATATATTTCCGCGCGTGAACTTTTCTTTGATGCCTTCTGCAAACATTTATGTCTTCAAACACGGTACGACATTGGAGGCAAACTGTGGCGGCTTTATTATGATAATTTCGCATATGAGTTACGATTGTCTTTTTGTCTGTTGACGACAATTGGCACAAGTTACATTTATATGACGATTCTATTAGGCTCTCCGATTTTACTGGATTTTGTTTTGTCGTCGCATTATCTTCTAAAACGTCGTATTCGTTCTTAATACGAAAATCTTCGAATCTGCAAAAAAGAATAGGAAGCGTCCATAAAAACAAAAACTAGACACGCAACGGATGCTGCATACTTTAAGAGCTTTATTGGAATGAATAAAACACTTGCAAGTTGGTATAAATTAACCATTATTGAACTATCCAACAAGCTACACTAACAAAAATATCATATTCATTTGACCCCGCCCCATATGTACCTTGTCGCATTTAAAGAAAATTATCGGGTACTTATTTTACCATATTTTCAAGAATAAACAAGTACAACAGTGACTTATGTTTATTCTGACAAATCGAAAGCAATTGGAATTGTGAACTATGTATCAATTTTAATAAAAAAACAACCTGCAGGCTCGCAGGAAGACAGCATATTTTATTTATTTTTATGCATACACATGCAATATTAACCTCAAAAGCTACGCCATTTTGTAAGCAACCACCATCTTGTTTACACTGGACGATCAACTGACAAGTAGACTAACTGAAGTTTAATGACAATTCTCTAAATCAGATTAATTGCATAACCATGACAAAATTTTGATATAAAAATTTGAATGACTTATTATTGAATATATATATTTCATTACTTTGTTACATACTTTAGATATAAGAGAATTAATTACTTACCTTGAGCATCTTCATCAGTTTCTACACTCATCACACACATTTTGAAATTGCAAATAGTTAATTCCAAATATAAAACATTGACAGTGGTAATTGAAATAAAAATTTTGTTAATTTACAATTTATAATTTTGTCTGATAAATTCCAACTGTTTATGCCGAATTGCAAATAATCTCACGATAACGAATGAAATTATGTTTTTAGGTTTTTTTTTTTAATACTATCGACCACCATATAACGGTAATAATACCTGTCGACTATTCTGCGCGACATAATTAAATAAAGACAATGTGTAAGGGAACTATATTAAACTATACTAGAATTAAATGGAATTATACTAGTATTAAAAAACAACAGTTACACCAACATGGTGTACCACTGATGTACATCTTTGGATACAGGCAAAATGTACCATCAATGCTTAACACCATGCAAGGAACTGAAGGTAATACTTACCTCGTACTTTAGAAAGCAAAATATGATACACAAATTTCACTCACATTAAGTTAAAAAAGAAACTATAAGCCCAACAAAAACAAGTTATGCTGATAGTTTCTTTTTGTAATGGCACCGTTACTTATCGAACGTATCTCGTATGTAAAAACTTTTTGATATGGAGCCGTGTACTGACATTGCATTTTTCTAAATTTTATTTTACAATTGTACTACTCCCAAATCGAGTGTAGCTTTTGGCACATTTTTGAATTACCTTAAACCTGTAACTTACCAATTACTATATTTACCATCTCCTAGAGACGTTTTACTCGATATTTTGTAAATAGCATCAACTGAACACCCACAGTCTCGAGTAGGGGTTAAAATTATTGTAGGCGTTTTGTTAAATTTTATTTATCGAAAATACAACCCCTTTATTTCACTTTTGAAATTAATTTTTCACTCTCAAAACGTATATTTTACCGAATTTTATATCGGAGTCAACAAGAGGTTGCTCTGCTTTTTTAATTCCATTTCCAGTGAACGTATTGTCGGGTTTGTCGTATAAATAAAGCGACAGTGTTAAAAACCCACTACAATGAGTAATTCTGCAAGCACAAAATTACCATATACCAGATACCTTAATAATTTGTTGATTTCGTCACTCCTTTTTTTCATACTTTCTCTTTCATAATCAGCCACATATGAAAGGTTTGGTTTACCCACTAGTTTTTAGTATTTACCAGTTTTTTTTTTACTGACAACAAGACGTTGTCAATAAACATTTGTGTATTATGTAATGATGATGATAATTAACGATGAATGCGCCACTGTTAAAAGCGCAAGATACCTTTTTTTTTAACTATATTTACCTCATCACGAGCAAGATGTCTCGTGACTACTGTGATCTTGTGAAACGGTCACGAAAGCAAGTTGCTTCGTGAAAAAAAAAGTCATCAACACATAACACTTCACTAAAGCGACTTTTTGAAATAATTAAATTGTCACAAATGCATGTTACATAGTGACATCACCAAATTTTAGAAGACGACCACATCGTGGTACTTTTTTACACATGAAAACATTTTAACAAATGCATAAACATAAAAATATTAACAGTAATAACAAAAATTGAATAAATACAATAAAGCGCAACATCTGCACATTGTACAGACAATAAAAGTTGTGTATCGAACTGCGCTTTTGTAAACAACACAATCAAAAATACATACTTGTTGCAAAACTGAACTTGGTAAAGTAATTACAGAGAAAAATTGAATGACACTAGCAATTAAATAATGTGGTAATTAAAAATGATAATTTCAAGATCAATATTCAGTTTTACTTCAAGAAAAAATATAACAGTTGAGTGTACTTGTAGAAAATAATAAAACACGGTTTCAACAGTATCCAAACACCTACCTTTTTCAGCATTGATTTTCCAATTTTAAAAGGTATTCCAATTCTTATTATATATTCATATGTGTGTGTGTATATTATCAACTGATGAATAAAATGAAATAATTTATAAACTCAGATTAATGAATAATATAAAGAGAAAGCCAGTCACATTACAACAGAAATGCAAAAAGTAAAGGGAAATGGTATTTCCATAATTTAGAGCAATTTACTGGCAAATGGAAAAGGCGCAGCCAAATTAAGAATTAAATTATTAATTAAAAAAGATACACTCAACTGTTGTAATTGATATAAAGCTGGAAAAAGTACTCACGGTGCGTCGACGACGTTCTTTCCTATCCCAGAAGGTCCCGGTTGCTCATTATCAGTACTTGTTGATGGTACACCGGCAAATTCTGTTGATTCTTCATCATTCAAACCATCATCGTCGCGATCATCATCACTAGTTTCTTCAGTCTGAAACAAAAACATTTACCTGTTAAGCACTAAGAAACTGCAAAAATATTGCCTCAAAAATGGCAAAACAAGAGTTCCTTTGCATATTCAGAGATAATTACATCTGAGTAACTTATTATCATTTATATTAAAGTTATGTACCTACTGAGAAGACTGTAAAAGAATATTAAATACCAACTAATTACCCTCCATCATAATTACGTGTTTTATTTAACAATTTCAAATTCATTTGTTGATTTCATAAGGGACTGTAATAATTTTAGTATGAATCTGTCAAAAAACCCCTGTTCTCACCTTAGCCACTTTAGTTTCTGTCGGGTCGTCAATGTCTTCATCGACATCGTCGTCAGAATCAGGCTGTGTGACAGTGGCGACAGCCTGTCTTTTGCGCTTCAAGGTAGACTCTCTTTTGTTGTTTGTATGAGTCTTTGAAGCTCCAGCGTTTGCAGACTGAAACAAAATACAAAATAACAATAAAAATGCAAAGTTTTCGGTTTTGTTTTTGTTATTACCTCCCCCGACACAAAATTGTCGTCTGTAAATGGGAATGCTGGCGTTTGATATGGGAGCTGCTGCTGCTGTAAAATATATTCCTGTGATTCGGTAGATACATTATTCACAACTTCATGTGAAGATTCTGATTCTGGTTCGATTGTTTCTTGCTTTAAAACCAGACCTGGTGTTGAATTTGATTCTGTTTTTTGTAACTTTGCCTCATTTAGGGTTTCCTGACTTAAACCTACTTCATTTAACCATGTTACGAGTTGCTTTTCCGAATTTGCTGAAGTATTCCAAAATTGATAGCACAGATCTAATTTGTATGAACAGTCATTACATATTTTCTTAGGTAGATTGTCATCTTGCGTGACCTGCAAACAAAATATAAATCTCTATTAATTAACAATTCAAACAAATTTTGTATATTATAATTTTTTCCAGTAGAAATGGGTGCCCTGTTAATTTTAATAAATCTCAACTTCTCTTATACAAGAAATACAAATAGTAAAATATTGAATTAAATAATGAAAGAACAGGTTTTAAAATGTCGGCCATTTTAGCTCATTCATCAGAATGGAAGGCTTCAACGGAAAAAGCGAACAACAAACTAAAGAAAAATAAGCATACTTTTATTTTGCATTATTAAAAAAGGATTATCTCGTCTCATTTATTAAAATTTCGTATTCTCATATAGAAAAAAGGCGGTCGTACCAACATTCCTCGAACAAAAAAAAAAACAAACAGGACAAACAGAAATCCTTAGAAATGAAGGAAGGGCGGCTTTTATACCAATAAACATGCGCAATAATGGAAACACCCTGTATATTGATTTTTCAGCAAATTAATCATGGTTACAATTGGGCGAACAATTAATAACTAATAGTAAAATAGTCAAAGCAGTTCTAGAGATACACACCGTCAATAAAATGCAGTGTATTAACGTTCCACCTTACAATAAAGCGTTCGTAATGGCGTCATTGAATAAACAAAAATATTTATGTTCGCAGTTAAAATCATTCAAAACAATATAAAAACATTCAACAACCTATAATTTGCTCTAATTATTCTATCCAATTAATAATACAGCATAAAACCATCTAACAATAAAATAAAAACATATACCAAAATGGCGAAAGACGCCAACTTACCTTCACCGGTAGGCAAGTTGATATTTTTAGGAAAATTTGTTGGACGTCCGTCTCGTTATCGAATATAGGAATATTCACTTCGTCTTTGACTAAACATAGTCTACATAATTGCATTAACTCCACAGAATTAACCATTTTTCTTCAAAATACTTAAATTTACACATCGAAAACACAACAGATCCTTTCACTTCTGCAGCAGTCGAGCAAGAAGGGATGAACGCGAAGAGGACGGATGTGACGTCCACTAGCGTTCCACTTCCACCGCTAACATTTATAAGGTCTGTTCACTAAGTAAAAATATTTTAAAACGATTTTTAGTTAATGTTATTTATTCAGTCATACAAAGTATAGGCGAATAACTATAGCAAAATAATACAGGTTTAATACTAGTTTTTACATAAACATATAAACGTTGCTACATATCTTTGCATTTATTTAATTATTTCATCAGTTTGAATGTTCCTTTAGAGATACGCCACCTATTCAGGCCCGCTACATTCGAATGATATTTTTTAAATATATAATTTCAAGTATTGACACCCAAAAAATAAAAATTGCAGAAGTAAATATAAAAGATGAATAAAGTTTATGACTTTTTTTCATATTATTAGAACATTCTTTGCACACTGAAACTAAGAATTTAATGTTGAATTTTTTAGTTTTAATGATTTCCTCACCTATCGACAAATCAATAGATTTTTTTATTTGTATACATATTTACATAATCTAGCATGTATATTTTGGGTAATTGAAAATTTCTTTTTTAATTATCGTTACTGGATTATTTAGTCAAGTATAGGCAATTATAACACCAATCTATGGGCGAATGGCAAACGTATTTACTGGTATATTAATATCTGTTAATATAATGTTGCAAACCCATAAGTAAATTACTTTATGTGATATTCTCATAATATACGATTTTATTATATTTATCGTTTAGGCAGCACTCAGTTATACTACCGTGCATATCTTATTTGAATAGAGATTAGAAAAAAAATATTGGTAAATGAAAGTTAAAATTATCAGGTCACATAAAATTTAAAAAAATTCTTATATGTTGGTATTGCATGACTTTCATCAACCTGTTCAACCTATTTTGAAAAGTTATATCTTTTAAATAAACTTAAGTTTAGTGTAATTTGTATGTTGTTTTCCTGTTTAATTACTTTGGATTTTTATTGAGTAAGAGTCAAGTCAAACGATTATTGTTTTAATTTATTTTATAAATCATTTTATGAATTACTTCTTTGATTTAATTAATTAGTAAAATAACAAAGAACAATAATTATTGCTATGTTTATTGGAAAGTTAACAGACAAAATAATATTATAATTAATAATGAGCATCATTTCAATAGTAAAGCACACATAATAATTAAAATTTCATAAAGAACAAGAATTAATATTTAAGTAAAATACATGTAGATTAAAATCAGTCAAAATTAAATGATTCTTTCTCATAATAAATTCGAAGCTATTATGTTCGTCGGTATTAATGGGGCTGCATAAAGGTCTGCTGTGGAGCTGTTTGCATGTAATTTTTGGAATAGGGGTTTGCTTGAGGTTGCGCTGGATAACCCGCTGGAGGTGGTCCCGAATAATGCTGAATTGGTTGGCTCGGGTACGGGAGACTGCTGGGACCACTTGTATATGCACTTGTGTTGGGAGGCAACTGGCCTTCAGAAGCTTGCACGTATCTATTAACGAAAAATATTTATTATATTATAAATTTAATTATCTTTCACTTTTTGTATCTAATATAACAAATTTCATTACAGCTGAAGAGAATTTTCTTTTAGACTGGATAAAAAAGCTAAAGGAACAATAAAATTTTCTACTCACCCTGAACTACTGTAGACGTATTGCTGTTGAGGGTATGGAACGTTGGAGTAAGATATTTGTGGATATCCTAAAACACACAAAAAAGGAAAAGTAAGTAGCTAAGCAAAGTCAAATAATAATAAATCAGTCACAGTAGTTTCCAAAACTATTATTTCAACCAGATACATATATTTATTATATATTCATAGCACTGAATAACAACAAAAAAGGGTAAATAAAAAAGCCAACATAAAATAAATACATTCTAAAGGGTAAATGAACACTTAAATAAATCATTATTACAAATAAATTCTTCCTTTTTTTTAATACGTATTATATAGAGTAATTAATTTTCTATAAGCAGTATTACTGTTGTTATTAATACAGATCACTCTTCATAGTAACATTAATTTGGAATAAATCAGTCCAAATATATATCTCGTAACGATTTATTTCTGCCTTTTCGCGGATCAACTAGTTCTGGTAACAAACATTCAAAATAAAACTTCTTTAATTTGTCTTCCATTTTTTGCTTCCAAAAAATGTCATCTCTTTCAATTTCTTCTATATGTATACCATATGGAGACCAGACAACAAAATAGCAAAGCTTTCGCTGAGTTATCTTCAGTTGTCCCTGTATTTGGTACATATAGTTGTGGTTCTTTTTCAAATACACTTTGTTATCCTTATATTCACAAAAATCAAGTTTTTTATCCATAGCTGCGACTATGGGATGTACGTCTCTTGAATTAATAGGACATTTAATTTCAATTAAGCAGTCATCATTTATTAGACCGTCAGGGGATGCCCCTAAAAATGGATAGTCCTTGTCTATAAAAAGACCACTTTTTTTAACTTTCAAATTGGTTGTCATTTCAAAAACTTCAATAGCATCTTTCTCATGCATTTTTCCATATTTTGTAGCTTCGTTGCCATTGAATTTATTGTATAATAATGATTCTATAGTTTTTTTAGTGTTTGTGGTCGATTGGAGTTTGCAAATTCGACCAAAATTCGATGCTGTTATTCGTTTACGTCTTTCAAACATCCAAGTACTACAGTTAGCTTGGTCACGCGTTTCTATTTCTATTAAAGCCCTGTTAATATCTGATAAATCGTACAGAAAGTCTGAAGCAGCTTTTTCAAATTCTTCTAAGGGCATATCATCTTCACTGAGCTGTTCTTGTAGTTGATATTTACCTGCATAAGTTGTATTAATCAACAATCTCTTTCCTATTATTTCAATATGATATTTTTGTGATCCAATGTTAGAAATCAAAATACTTATTCAATTTATAAACTAAATTAAATATATTACAAATGATATCCTGCAATATAAAATGACTGAACACTAATAAATCTAGATGATCTCATAAGGAATACTTAAGTTAAAAAATTAAGATGATTTGTTTTACCTGATGTAGTTCTTCCATAGTATTCGGTAGCATGAGGATTTTGAGTTGGGGTCGCAGAGCTAGGAGGTGTAGGTGCTGGTACACTTTGAGGACGAACTCCACTATTGCTGACTGAATTTACATGAGAATCTTTGCTGTCTCCAGAACCTTTCTTGTTTCTTTCTTGTAAAGGATCAAATTCACTTGAATTTACCTTGCTGACTTTACTGCTATTACTGCCAGAGGGCCCAGTTGGGACATTCTCACTTGATTTCTGCTCATCAACTTGACAATCAAAGTAAACAGTTAGATTACATTGCATTAACTACAGGTCTTGCAGTAATAATCTTTATATTACCATTTTCTTTCTTCAAAGAAGTGACAGCTGTGGGTGTATCTAGAGTATCCAAAAGTTGATTTACTTGATCCCTTATTTTTCTTAATTGATCCTTGACATTATCTAATTCTGTTTCATTTAAGACACTTCTTCTTTCACCTTCTTTGCCCTTGTTATTCATCAAAATTTGCAATTTCAAAACTGGATTACATTGAATTGCAAAGGACAGATCAGAACTATCAAAAATAGTGATAAGATCTCCATCTGCAAATATCCACATAATTACAAAAAGGAAAAACAAAGCTGATACTGATCATTAATCTATGTAGAAAATTGCTTTGTTAATGAATCGTGGTTAGGTGAACATTGTTATTAGAAATGAATTAGTTTATATCGTACAATATTTAATTAAATATAACCAACATTACCCTCATCTTTGTATTTTATAGTAATATCGTCGTTTGCATTCAATTTTCCTTGAAAAATTCTTTGCATCATCAGAACTAATTCGTCATAATTAATGGCATCATTATGAATAGGAATACGACGAATATCATCACCTAACTGAACTTTAATAATTATTTTACCACTTATATCGTTAAGCATTATGAAAGATTTTATACTGAATTCTTAAAAAGTTATAGAAATTTAAATGTAATTTTATTAAAAACAAACATTACACCACTATAACCTCTTAGCTATAACTGTATGCTGTCAGCTGTCATTTAATTGTCAAGAACGTCAGAGATGAAAATAGTATAGATAAAACATGGGGTAGAATTATTATAATCAAGAAAGGGGTACGTAAGTTTTCTTTATGTTTACCATTTCCATAGCTACACTCCCTTTTTTCTATTTTAAACACAATTAAAATAAGCAGGTATTTTGTAAGAAATAAAGAAATACGTGGGTACTTTTTGAATATTTTAAAGCTTTGGAGTTCAATTTCCATTCCATTTGATATATTTTTAAAAAAAGACTAATTACAACACAGTACCAAACGAAATGAAAAGTTTTCTAATAAATGGGAGAATTAGCCAGAAGAAAAACAATAAATGAGACTATTTTTGTTCACTTAAGTGAAAAGTAAATAGCAGAACTTGTGCAAGGAAAATTATGAAACATAGCTTTTAAAATTAGTTAAGTAAATTAAAGTGTTTCACTAAGCAACTAAAATTCTACTAAATCACTAAAGATTTTGTTATCAGAAACGTATAATCTAATCATTCAGCAGAGAGAATGAAAACAAAGTTATCGAGCGTACCGCATGGTCAGCCATGCGGGCGTTGAATGAATATTACGTAGGTACCTTGTAGAGTACTTATGTATTTGTAAATAAAAACATAAATTTTTAAACTATTTATTAATNATACATTTAAAAGTGGAAAACTGCAATCACAATACAGTATACTTTATTTCTAAATATACATTCATTTTTTCACAGAAATATTTCAAACGCCTTGGGATGGGCTCGTCCATTTAACATAAAATGGCGAATCCCTGAAACAAAAAAAATAAAAAGTCTACTATTAATATTCTTGGATTTATTATTATTAATATTTACTTATTTATTTATTAGCTACATAGTACCTACTACCATACTAGTAAATAGTCGAAATAGGAAAACAAGAAAATATTTTACAAAAGACTAATCTGAGTAATATATAAATAAAACATTAAAATCCACAATTGGATATCGACACACGCAACTGCTAGTTTTATTTATTGCATACTTTAAAACTCTTAATTAATATCACGGGTATTAAATCACTGTTTTAATTGGAAAAATAACCCCAGAAAAAATCTCCGAAAAAGTTCCCTACGGAAAAAGTGCCCCGGAAGGAGTACCAATCCAATTTACAAATTATGTTGTTTTAATATTAACTCTAACGTTCCTTATCATTTGTAGTTTTTAATTTTTTTGTGACTGCATGACCCTAGACTCTTCTTTACAATGCCATGGCGATTGTAACTTTTACAAAGTCAGTTACATTTATTGCGGCCTTAGACATTTTATTTTCAACAATAAGACCATAATTATTATGTTCTTATTTTATTACGGTAGACTATTCAAATGAATATATTGTTTCGTCTAGAGAGAAAGAAAGGGGGGGTCTTCCCTTTACGTTATGTTCGTTTTAATGTATTGTAAAACGAAGTACATATAATTCATAAAATGATCATATCATCCGAATCCATTTTCCAAAACCTATGTCTTAAATTCTAAATGGCAACAGTAAAATGTAGCAGTATAAAGGGAAGAACAAGACGACTACCGACAACTTTGTTGGAAAATTTACGACATTTAAAAATCGTATATGCCGTAAAATTCGATGTCAAGCCTGAGAAGAGACTTACAATAAAACCCGAGTGCGCGCCTAATACATTATACCCTACAATGGCGGCTCGTGGAGATGGCACGATTGAAATTAAAAAAAGAAAAAAATAAATAGTTAATCAGTTAATCTGCAAGAAGACGATCGAATTTATTTTTAAACCCACGTAAGTATACCTACTTAACAGCAATGTGCAAATGTTTAGAGAAATCAAGAAGTTCATCGTACCACTGTCCACATGACTAAATATTTTTACTGTGATTAGGATGATTACACAAGAATCTTTCTTGTTCCTATTAAAAATCATAAATTACAATGACACATAAGTTAAGACACATAATACATATTTGACTGACTTTTTGATTTGCAAACTGTACAATTAAATCTTCACAATCCAATCATTGTCTGTCCCGCCCCTCGGAATTTGCCGCAATAGGCACTAGCTTCTAGTGCCCCTGGTTTGTCATCATACAGGTGCATCATGACTTGTACCCTATTTTTTTATATTGTTAGTGGCAAACGTACCCACGACTTAAAGCTACAATATGATTGTGTCTGTACTGTTTTTCTATGGTTTAGGTTCTTGAAATAAATTAGAATTTTGTAATCGATTCGTTAAAAACCCAAAAGCTTTGAGTTTGTTATGATTAGATCTTTCAAATGATACCCAACGTAATATTCAACAGTTAATTAATCTATGTATTGGATAATAAATAATTGGGAAATGTTAGCGTTAATATACGTCAATAAATTTTCTCAGTTTACAGACGGAACTGAGAGAGTACCGTTTTTCTTTAGAGATACGGAACCCTAATTAAAAAGTAGAGACGCCCCAAGTGACATTATCCACCTGCCGCCACTGAAATATTCATATTATACGTACGTAATACGAATCGTAAAAGAAAAAATGGATTATCTCCAGTTCTGTTATCTGACAATTGTGCTTTGCTTTATATCCGCTTCCTGCATAAATCTCAGGCGTAATCGCGGGTCATAATTTTGATTCACATTTATCCTAATTCGCAATAATTCGCACATGAAAGCTTACGTCTGATAGTAAAAGCGCGGACCGGGTCAAAAATTGAAACGGATATAAATTCCACAAACGAACGCCAACTTGTGCAATTCGATAAAACGCATCGAATATTAAACGTCAAATGCATATAATCTACTAATAAATTAAATCTTTTGCTGGAACACCGAATACCCGAATCGCATTTTGAGTGATTCGAATTTAATATTAAAAAATAATAAAACTGCAAAAACGACGCGAGTTGCGCTATAACAAAATACAGAAAACAGTACGAAAAGCTAATCGCAATCTGAAGTAATCAATTTTTGAAAACAAATCATACCTATAGTACTTGACCAGAATTTATTATATTTAGAAATTCGAAAAAGGTTGTTAAAGGTGTATGTTTGGAGCACGGCATTGTACGGGTGCGAAACATGGACAGTGGGAGCGGCGGAAAAGAAAAGGTTAGAAGCGTTCGAAATGTGGTGTTATAGGCGGATGATGAGGATATCGTGGATAGAAAAGATTAGAAATGAAGTGGTATTGGAAAGAATAAGAGAACAGAGGACTCTATGGAAGTCAATAAAAAATAGGCGAGATAGGTTCGTAGGACACCTTTTCAGGCATGAAGGTCTAGTCAGAGACATATTAGAGGCAGAAACAGGAGTTAGGAGGGGTAGAGGTAGACCTAGATTAGATTACTCTTCGCAAATAGTTAAGGATGTGGGCTGTTCTAGTTTTAGGGAAATGTTTAGCTCAGGATAGGAAAGAGTGGAGGTACGTGTCCAACCAGTCTTAGGACTGATGACCTTATGAGTAGGCGAGATAGGTTGGTAGGACACTTTCTCAGGCAAGAAGGGCTATTCAAAGTATTAGAAGCAGAAACAGGAGCTAAGGTGAGTAGAGGTAGACCTAGATTAGATTACTGTTCACAAATACTTAAGTATGTGGAATGTTCTAGTTTTAGATAAATGCGAAGATTAGCCTAGAATAGGAAAAAATGGAGATGCGTGTCCAACCAGTCTTAGGACTGACGACCTTATAATGATGAGATCTGATTTATTATTTCTTCAATAGGTACAGACTCTTTATGATTCTGTGCCTAATATTTATCCAAAGATTCGCACTTAAATACATATTTTTATTTTTCTTTCCTAACCCGAAATTTTGTTTGCGCCCCTGATCTAACTGCACAGGGAAAAATATAACTACTATCACCAGATAATAATAATAATAACGTATTAGATTTAACGAAGCTTTCGGGAAGGCGGAAAACGTTCAACAACTTTCTCAAACATGACCATCACATGGTGGATTTATGTTTCCGTTCTGTTCTTATATGAGAAAAGAAGCGGAGGAAGTGGGAGACGGTATTAGAAGATTGTTGTAAAGAACAGGAGTACGGAAGGACGAAAGGGGGATCGGACATCAGCTCGTCTGGCCAAGTATCGCGATAGCTCGCTCAAGCACAATATGCCCTAATATCGGAAGATTTTGTAAGTTCTTGCGGAGTTTTGCTCCTTTATTAGTTTTCGGGGACGTGTCTCGTCTCGGCCCGAACTCTTCGTCCTCCTTCCTACCACCGTGTCGGTCCCTTCGATTTCTTAAATTTTATTTTTCAACCTATTCATGCAGCGTGAAATGAATTCTGCTTACTACGAAATTTTCAGCGTTGCACTTTTTCCAAGATCCTTATACAATAAATGTCTGCAAACAACGTTATAAACTTAAAAACTTCCAGTGAAAAGTACTTAAACTGCTGAATTTTAATGGGAAAGTACATTTTTTATTATACTATTGTTTATTAGTACACTAACTTTTGCCATAGCATACTTTAGACCTATGTAATTTAATGATTAAACTTACTATCTAAGGGTAATTATAATGATTAATTTTGTTGGTAAAAGTTACAAAGAAGAAATTAGTGACACTGCCTAAAATGGTAGTTTTAATTTGTTTGTATTTATTGGTTTACGCGTTTACGTGTCTATCAAACTACTTTAGTAAAATCTAGCCTTGAAATAATTTAGTATCAAGAAATACCCACCAGATGGCGATGCACTGTCTCTATTTGGATATAACATAAAAATGTAAGACATAAGAGGAATACTTACATATTCCTTGACATTGTAGTAGAGAGACAAACAAATTTTGGAAGAAACAGTAACTCCTAAAAACCTTTTCATTCTTAATATTTGTTACTACTATTTGTAATAAATGAAAATTTCTCGAAATTTGTTCCGCAGTTTTTTCTGAAAGTACACATGCAATGACTTTTGTGATCTTATAACATTGTTTACCCTTCGTATCCCTGTTCCGGGTATGATTGGTCGAAATTAAGCAATTTGAATAAAACGGTAGAAGTGTATATATATTTCT